GAAGTAAGTTTGACATGGATGGAAAGACATCTAATCGTGCCTTGGTTAAGCCGGTGTTGGCGACGATGGCATCAACAATCTCTTTTTCCTCGAGGTTTTTGAACGACGTTCCCTGAAAAATTGGGCCTCGTTGAAGTATTCGAAGTCACTCATGAAATGCTTAGGAGCGCCGGGCTTTATTCTCTTTGTAAAATGTCATACCTGATTGACTGCTCTAACCTCCTCTAATGTTTCATTGGTGAGAGCCGCTTGGAAGAACTTGATGAAGAAGTCGCCGCTCAAGTAATTTGTTTCGATATTGAGTTTCTTCAAACCCCTATTAATTTCGAGCACTGGCATGAGAACCTGGAAATGTTTGAACCATAAGAACAACGCCTCTGCCGACACCGTGCCCTAGCATAGAGCAACGGAAAAAGGCAAGAAAGCAGCTTCAAGCACTGACATGAGAACCAGGAAATTCAGCCTGACTATCTTGGCTCTAAATGTTCCCCATTCCCCAAGCACCTCCTTTATTCGATGTCTGCTAACTGCTACCAGAACTTTCTGAAAGATACGAACTGATCCGTGTAAGCGCGGCACTTTCTTGTTTAGGTGTATTATATGTTCAACCCACGACATGCGTGTGACAATAATCAAAGTCACGCACACACGGCTCGTCCTATAAGAACTGCTCCCCCGTGACCGCATTGTTGCTTGGACTTACTCATCCCATACGTCATGTGGCACATAGATGTGTACTGAGCACAATGGCAAGCATGTACTGAGCAGATGGCTTTCGTTCAGAGGGATCGATCAGCTATCGATGATTCAAACGGAGCTGGAGCGTGAGTGAGCCGGAAAATGGTAGTTTCCATTGTTTTCACGAGGAGGAGCAGGAACAAGACGAGAGGAGGGAATAGGAACAAGAACAGAAGGATCACTGTTTTCTTTACCTCTACCGAACAATGTCGCTGGGATTTTCCTTCATCTCACTTTACGACCTCTTCGCCTTGAGCAGAGCACGTCCTGTCGCTGGAGAAAAGTTTCGGAAAACACGACTCCTTCGATTCCCTCCTTTGATACGACCCCTCTTCCCCATCCTGCCCACCCCTCCCACTTTCCTATATTGCCGCAACTTCCTACCCTTTTCCAGATTTTCCGGAATTTCCCGCAAATTTTCTAGTTTTTCCCCAAGATTTTGCTGTCCGAGCGTGGGGGGAGGGGAGGGGAAGAAGGAACGTCTTCAGCATTCAACTTACTAGTTTCAACTATTAACTATCAGAAATTGTAGTTGTATAGAACTATGGCGACGCCACCAACTAGGGGAGGGGTGGGGGCAAAAGCGAATACGACCCTCCCCCTTATAGCGTGAAACAAGAAAATCAATCATCAAAAGAAATTTCTTAGACCAAATACGACCACCCCTCCCCCGCTAGGGTTTCCTCAGGACGTTATCTGCTTGGGAGGCGTGAAGACGGTTCGAAGTTCCTGCAAGCTCTCCTACCAGACTTATTTTGCCCTAGAGCGTTTCCTGCATCGTGCCAGGAACACTCCCGAATAATCCAGTTAACTCGGCCAGGAAGCTTTCGTTCGTGCGGAGCATGAGCTCACGCCGAACATACGAGTGTATTGCTAGTAAGGGTTCTTGGACCTCATCGGTAATAAGTTAAAATCGTATTTTAGTGCTCCCTCTGGCAGAAGTGAAAGAAATACAGTTTTTCATAATGCTGAGGATGCAGTAAGGAATCTGAGACTATAACAAGAATAGTAGCAAAAAGTCTTATAAAGTGGAAAAGCAATGACGTGGAGGAGCGTGAACATGAATCTCATCCTCTGAGGCCCATCAAGGAATAGTCAAAAATTCCCCAAACAGTAAGCAAAACTGAGCGGAATCGGTCGATTTCCGCGCGAATTTCGGCACAAAGCTATAAAATGATAGGGATGAAGACAAAATGAAAGAGTGAGGAAGCAATGATGGGCATAGATAAGGTGACTATAATATGGCCAAAATGAGCTCCCAAAATACTATGGAAAATAAATCGAACCGTAAATAGTACTCACTGCGAGATCATTGTCGTAAAGGCCCATATTGGCTAACGATAATCGTTCACAATGTTCGTTATAAGCTAATGCCTCCAATAGCCGTCGAAGTTGTGGAATTGGGGTGCGCTGAAATGAAACTGTTCTGAGTTTCTTCAACACTACGTAGATAAACTCTTGTCTTAATTTTCAGACATTGCGCTACGCCACAGTCCTCACTTATTGTTTCTTTCAGTGACCTTACGAATGGTAACATGAGCTTCTCATGTGTGAACCCAAGACCTATAGAAAAAATTGGGATATGTATTTCCTGAAAAGTGCGGAATTGCGTTGAAGTGGCAGCCCCTTTTTGTTACGACCGAACCCGTTACTAGATATCGGATGCAGGGTACAGCATTGTGATGTGTGAAATGGTGGCGTCAGGACGACACCCCCCTCACCCTCGAGGGAATGTCTCGGTACGACCCCTCCCTCCTTCCCCAACACCTACCCTCTAGTTTTTCACCCGAAAATCACCCAGAAACTTTCCGTCATGAAAGAGGGGGGGATTCGTAGCCGATGTGAGGCGAGAAAATTTCTCAGATTTTCCCAACTTTCTACCATTTTCTCCCGGAAGTTCCCGAAAATTTCTCCACTTTTCCAAAAATTTCGCTGTCGAGCGGGGATGGAGTAAATAGTGCACATGAAACAGAAAAAATCACGAAAAATCAACAACCCGGAATAAACAGCCAGGGAAAATTTTTCCGAACGCGGCAAATTTCTCTCGAGGCCACATACGACCCCCCTCTCCCAACAACCACGAAATACGACCCCCGCCTATCCCCAGCGGAAACGTACGACCCCCTACATATGTGGTTCACACAACGAAGCTGTACTCTGATTGGATTGGTAGCAAAATTTGTCTACTTCTGCTCA